AACTAATCGGCCCATGCATGTTCGAGATACAGGTGATCACGGATGCACAGACGCACACAGGGCAAAACATAAGTCTCCGTTTTCGGACTACGTCCGAACGGGGACTAATAACATTTTTGGAAAAATATTTGACAAATTTTCACAAAATATGGCATTATAGCAAAGAAAATGCTGTTTCACATTACCATGGAAAAATAGCTACATGAATGTACATAATAAACCAATGAACATTGTCATGTGATTTATATATAACAAACTAGGCTTCTACCTTAATAAAAGCAAATGTTCATGTCCACTTATAAATATGTAAGTATTGAAGAATCAGAAAGCATGATATTCATTTTTAACTCTGAACTGATGCCACACTCATAGATATAACACATTTGTGATCTCAACAAAATTCAACCAACAGAATTATGATTAAAATATGCTCAAAAACCTTGCTATCACAGGTTGCGATTTGACAGTAATTTATCCAAATGTGAACCAGGAACATTGACTTGTAACTCTATATTTAACAGTTCACAATTGCACGAAGAGAACGGAAAACTCGCATCAGCCTTATAAATGCTTCAATAGACAAGTTCTAGATGCAGCAAGATCATTAAAATATCACAGGCTTTTTCACACAAATATCACCACTAGATGGCGCTACATACTAATCATTATGGAAATCAAAATACATCCACCAGAGGGCGCTATACTCAATTTAAAGATGTTCAGAAATTCATTGTGAACAATTCTGGCAAAAAATGGGCGAAGAACAATGAAGTCATCAAGAATATATGAAAAGAATGGACCAATATTGATATTCCTCAAAGATTATAGTAATATACATGTATATGTATGTACTGTATCAACCTTAACATGAATTGTATAAAAGTTCTCCACTAAAAAAACAGTAAAATATATCAGCAAAATAAAACATCTACACCCATCAAGGCAAGTACACACAAAAAACCAAGTCAAGTGGTTCAGTGTTTTTTGCGAAAAAGTCGCCCACCTCCATCCAGACATCATTCAAACATTCAGACCTCACACATTGGACATTGTACACAGCGTCGCCTGTATAGCTCAGCAGACCTACGGTGCATTGAGATAAAAATGAACTCAACTTACCGTATTGTTTAGCATCAAAGCATGTAAGTGGGGCACCAAGGACTTCAATATAGAAACCAGCTGTTCTCAAATGCTGATACATATCTTTGAAATTAGTGTGAATGTGGTCACCATTCCTGAAATGTAAAATGATTTAGTTTGTAACCGCCATGCATCTAGATCATTTGGGATTTATTTACTCCTATTCACACTTTGAACAGATTAAACATTGCAGTAACTGGCAACATAATTCCAGTATTACACATTAGGGGAGAGTTGGAAATCAAATGGGCGGTGCACCACAGTCATAGCCGCGGCAGAGGTCTGCGGTCGACCACCTTTTATCAAATTTATGCATAGCTGTCATGACGCGGACTGACCGCAGTCGTGTAAGGTAGGCTTGCACAGCAATTCACACTTATTGTCAAGACCATGAATAAATACAAAAAAACTTGAAAATTAAAAGGATTACATCGCCACAAATTTCCACTGAAAATTTAAATAAATTTGGCTGCACCAAAAGCTTGGAAACTAGTCTATAGTAGTTAGCAGAAGAACACTATTATATTTGCCTGAGCCTTGGAATGAAATCACAAAGCGACCCAGCAAGATGTAGAGATCAACATAATATAAAATATTATCACATTATTTTGCGAATATACATCATGCATGGTCTCAGAAAATGTTTAGAAAAATTAATATTTCGCGTAGACCAAATATAATCATGCAAAGTATAAATTAAAAGAATTTTAATATATTGTTGAGAGGTCGCATTTTACGTGGACAAGAACATGCACTAAAAAGGAAAAGCAAGCCAAAGTCGATACAGGGTGTATCATAGACTTGGTACAACATACGCTGCAACAACTGAGTGATCATTTTGGTGTGCAATTGAACTTTAAGAACTTCATTGTAAAACTTACAGCGCAACAATGCTGACATTCAGTGTGTGTTGACCGAAGTGTGACCCAAGTCACCTACTAAACTGGTGCGTTACATTAGCATTTTAGCTAGCTGTTGTTTGTTTAAATAACATTCTTTATTGTATTATTTTCAAGATCTTAATATGGATATAGATGTAGAAATAGTACAGTAAATAGTACAAAATGTATATCCTCGGTGCTGTATTTACACAAACTTGTATGCAACTCTGTACTGGCTTTGAATATTTCACGATTGTTTACTAAGTAAACAAATTTGTTTACAATATTATTACTGGCTCTAAATTTTTTAACATTGTAATGTATTGCTTTCATAATAATTACACAAACTCAAGTTATTTAATATTGTTATTGTTGATAATGCGTTGCATTCGTAATAATTAAAACTTAAACATAGGTGTATTTAGATCATTGAAAAAGATAGTAGTCAGGTGTCTACTGAAAGTCTAGAAAATATTTTTACAGCAAGTCTCAGAAGTATTGGGGCAGCCAATTTGCAAACTCGCTAGCGAATTGGCTAACTGCTTTGGTTTCGACTAAACGGTTGGCTTTCAAATCTGGCTGGCGCCGTCTTGCGGTCACAACTACTTAAGACGAATCTAATTAACAGTAGGGGGCAATCTTCATAATTTAGGAGCTAATCAGCGGCGGTCTTACAGTTGGATGGCCATTTTGCTTTCAAATATACCAGGGAAAGTGTTCTATGCTCTTCGTGTTCAAACAAAAACGACGAATGAGGACGATTTTTTCAGCGGTTGGCTTAATGTTGCCCCAACGGATCATTTGAGTGTGAAAATTTGTTATTTCCTCCCTGATTTGTAGGAAACTGTTTCTCAACTTATCTATTTAGTTTCAAGCAGTGTTCAAGATGGTTACCCTCATATAATAAATATCGGTTACGGTGGATTAATCGTATTTATCATATCATCACTTGTACGCTAGCTGACTGTGACCAGTTTCGGACTCAAATTATTCAGGGTAATCCAGACATGTACCAGGCTGCGTAAAAACATTCTATGTCCCCTAACGTAATATAGACTCGCCAAGAGTGGACGCGATCACAAGCTGGCGCCAGCGAGATTCGAAAGCCAACCGTTTAGTCAAAACCAAAGCAATTAGTCAATTCGCCAGCGAGTTTGCAAATTGGCTGCCCCAATACTTCTGAGACTTGCTGTAATACTAATGATTCATTGATGTTCTGACATTTAAATTCAGGCCACCGAGCTTGACACAAATCGATATAGTTACCTATTATTCGTTCAAAAAATATCACAAATATCATGAACACGATGAAAAAAAACTACACCAATACAAGATTATGTTTGCAAGATTAGATTTTAAGAACGTAAATGACTGCTTAACTTGGTGTTTTTATATAATCATGTCGCACATGAAAGAGAAGATATTTTAGTTCATCCATTTCTCGTTTAACGACCCTGAACTTTTTGTCTGGAGTGCGATACAAGAGTAAATCAAGAGACTCAAACCAGGAAGACTTGGCTATTTTAAACTTCATTAAATAGCGTTTTCTTTTCAAGTGCTGACTTTATTCAAGTGTAATAAACGTTTTCATGCAAGAACAACTCATTTACAGCATCGGATTTGTGGAACCTTTATTTAGTTAAAATACTTGGGACGGATAATAATAATAATAATATACTTTATTTTGAGTATAAACATAACCAAAGTTACACAAAAATAAAAATAAATACCAAGAAAATGTACATAATAACTTTTCTTATTTTCTATTTCCATACCAGCGCTGATCTGGTGAATTTTATAAAAACAGCTAATTAAAACAATGAATCACAAAGAAATCGTTGAGTACGTATTTTACACCTTGCCGACGATCGTGATTTCAACTGGCAATTAGTGGCCACCCTCTTGGTGACCCCTAATTATACCCGTGGATTGCTCTACTCTTAGACAAGAAGAGCAATCAAATCAAATGTAAACAAATATTTACAGTGAATTATTATAGTTTGTTTACATGCTTTTATTTTACTTCACACACCCAGCAACACAGGGAATGTCTGCATTAATTTTGTTGTTATCGAATTGAACATAAAAATGCTATACTCACTTGTCAGATGGTGTACAGTATATGATGTAACACAGTGTCCAAATATAGACAATAGCATGGTATAGTAGCAATTACAAAAAGTGCAAACTTACCAGTCTAAAGGGTCATTTTTCATTCTCAAGTTATCACGTGGAAAGTAACCTGGTGGATACCTAAGATTATGATATTGGTCCCATAGAATACGTCTACTACGTGCTGGTGTTGGAATAACTTTTACTTTAATTGACAACTTTAATAGAGATCTACGTGGTTCTTCCTCGCCTTCCTGAAATGTGGATTTAATATCACAGTGTTATTTTATCTATCCCACGTAGACATGGTGTTATAAAGGTGACCTATAAATGTTCATGATTTAATATTGCAGTTAAGTGTGACATTCTGCCCAAGGAACACAAGTGGTATTTCATGACAATATTTTTGAATTTACAATTTGAATTTACATAACTACTAATCTATTCATATAATCGGTAGGTCAAGAGTTCATATCATACGCAGGATTTACACGTTTGATCAGAAGGTCTAAATTTAAATCATAAGTGGGGTTTACACTGGTCTGGAGTTTAAATAATAAGTGGGGTTTACACTGGTCTGGAGTTTAAATCATAAGTGGGGTTTACACTGGTCTGGAGTTTAAATAATAAGTGGGGTTTACACTGGTCTGGAGTTTAAATCATAAGTGGGGTTTACACTGGTCTGGAGTTTAAATCATAAGTGGGGTTTACACTGGTCTGGAGTTTAAATCATAAGTGGGGTTTACACTGGTCTGGAGTTTAAATCATAAGTGGGGTTTACACTGGTCTGGAGTTTAAATAATAAGTTGGGTTAACACTGGCTGAGATGCCACTTTTATTGAACTTCCATTCCACTGGATTTGACATTTATGTTGAAGTTACTTCTATTTGCTGAACTATTTGTATTAACTCACCTCTGGTGGAGACTCTACTGTGAGTGTAACTTGACCTTGAGCCACACCCTCCCAAGAAGCAGCAGCTTTGGAAGCAGTAATAGACACAGCTAGATAACCTGACCAGGGCCATAATGTTGGCGAGTAGGACAGTGCCACCTACAGTAAAATAAACCAATCCAGTGAGTCATAAAAATCACTGAAAAAACAAGAAATTCATTGTTTGATACACACTGATGACTGGATGCTCACCTCAATGTAGTTGCCATTCTGTGGTGTATATGGCTGCCATGCTGGTTTTTCAACAATTCTACCAGTAACACCCATGCCATTCAATATGGTCACCTACATGGGTGAAAATGCAAGTGAACATTCATTAATATGAGCATTAATATTAATAGCTAGCGACAGATTTTTTACTGAGCTGGCAAAATTAATCAGGAAGTCACACTTGTTTATGTTTTGTGCACATGTGCAGTGACTGGTTTGTAAGACTGCTGCTGTCGCTATTAAATATACCGGTACATGTATGACCATGTTAATAAAACAACTTATGGAAAACGTTTTTAAAGCAGATCGCAAGCTAGCGTTGATCAATGAGTATAATTTTTCACCAACATTCGCATGTAGGTGGATAAAACTGACATCACAGTGCAAACAAAGAAGCTACCAACAGTCCAGTTGAGAGTTGTTAGCTGGCATTAATAGTTGCATGACACATTGGTAACATTGAAGGAATTGGCAGTGTAGTGTATACATTAAAGGGTTTTGCACAGCCTGATTTGAGTGCCAGCGATTTCGCTGCCTGAAAGCTTGGCACAAACCAAAATCATACCCTCAGTGGTGAATTTAAGAGAACATACACTGATTCATACTAGTATGACATGACGATGAAGGCATCTAGATATGGTCTGATGCTGTAGTAATGAATGAAATCAATTCAAACCGTCATCAGCAACTCATATTTATGTGCTGCTGCAACCGTTTTTTCTTGAATTGCTACATCAAATCTTCTTTGCCGTTCATGTGCATGATGACTCGTAATAAATGCCATAACACCAAATGCAAATATTATTATCATCATATGTGTATTGTTTTCCATGAGGGTTTCGACATGAGCCAAGTGGGTCCAAAGTTGGTCCATACTAATGCAACTGCTGTAATCTGCTGTAAACTGCTATTCTAATGAAATCCAGAAAGCAATGAAGACTTACATTGACTACAGTGGGCATTCCACCATGGTATATCGGTTGAGTACAATATGGCCACATGTATGGACATTCAGTGAGGTCAACGTAGCTAGGGCTTAAACTATTGAACAAAAAACAAAAACATACATTACAGAAAGACTAGTAAAATAACAGAAATGAGGAGAAATCATGATTCTAGCAGTTAACAGCATTATCTGACCACATATACGACCAGTGTATCTACAATTTGGAACACATCAAATTTACATCAATTTTAACGTTTTATTTGAGAAATGTATTCTTGATAGTGAGAATTACTGATTCATAAGTGATTTCTTTTTACTTGATAATACTTACCTTGCTTGTGGTTTGTAGCTACTTAGGATCTGGTAAGCCCTGACAAGATCTAACTTGCCATGACCCTGCTCAAACATATTCACTGCTGGCAGTCTTCTCGCTGAAGCCATCAAAGCTTGCTTCATACTGGCTGGGTTCACCACATGGAGGCGCTGTAACACAGCACTGGTGGTGGAAAGAAATAAGAATGTAATACTGCCCTCACATGATACTGTAGTAGAGAAAATATACTGCCCTCAAACCAGCAAAAGACAAATGGCAAAGACAGTGCAAACACAGCTAGGTGTAGGTAGTAGGTTGATGCTATGTTTAATTGTTGGTAAAACTTGAGAAAGTATTAGAACAATATCGCTTTAATCAACATGGTTGCAGCATGGCAAGTAAACACTTATATTTAAATACAAGAAGAAGTATTAAACACAGAATACCTTGCAAGCAATGAGACAGCTCCGGCTACTACTGGTGATGCCACTGAAGTACCTGACAAAGTACGACATCCACTCTTGATACCAGACCCTCTAACAGCAGATCCATAGGTAACAATATCCGGTTTTACTCTACCATACCCGCCTGGTAACTCCTGTAACAGTGAGATAAAAGATTCATCTATCATAGTCACAGTGGTTTCGAGTAGATACATACATGTACTGGCGGCATGTACATGGCCCAGAAGGATGCTAAATTCAAACTGAGTAACATACCACATACTCTTAAGAGGCAAAAGATGATATTTTTTCCTACTTTCCTGTTCCTAATAAGCGACTACAAAGAATCATTTTTATTTCAATACGTCACAGTATACAAGTAGGAATCTCTAAGTATTTGTTTACTTTAAGTATTTGCATTATTGTAGCCAAAAGGAACACCCTGTTACATGTAGGTTACATTGTAGAATATATTAAAATCTGTGTGTTACATACCCATGTGGTCATGCCTCGTGATGAAAATCTGGCAATATTGTCTTCAAAATTAATGCCACCGACACCTATCACATCCATTTGATCAGCAGGATTATTAAGAGTTCTGAAATGAAAAATCAATACATCTTTGATTTACATTATCCTATCACATGTTGAAATGCACTACTGTGATTGGTCAAAACAGATTCGCAATGCAACTCATTCAGAAAACCTCTATGCAGCTGTCACTCAATATTGGACATCATGCATGTGCACATTGCTGTACAATATTTCATAGTACATGTATACTATATATACCAAACAAGGTTAAGTATAGGTTTACTGGTTAATCAATGTAAGCACATATATAAAATCCTGAGTAAAAGTAGCATGACATACCCATACAGAGGCCCATCATTTCCTATAGCAGACACCATTATTACTTTATTTGCTGTAAGTTCCCATACCTAAAACAAAATGAATATTGAATATTATGTTATTTCACTTTAACAGCAATAGCAATACAGACTTCACAAGTAAATATTGAAAAGCGGGACAACAAAGCCTTCAAGTAAAAGAACCTGTAGGGTTGTCTGATATTAAAGATGTTGTAGTTGTTAATTTGCAATTGAGATTTCAGTTCAGTCTTTGCAAACAATAGAGCATGAATACTGGGTATTGTCTTTTTGCATAAAAGCAGAAAATGTTTATATTTAACAGAAAAGACCATTTGTGGATTTCAGTGTTGGGTGAAATTTTGGTCTAAGTATGTCATCAAATCAACCATTTTGTTTATCAATGTACATAACTAGTCATGTTATACCTGAGGTAATCATTAAAATATTCCTCAAAATACATGTCCAGTACCAGTTGGCAAATAAATGTTATATTTGAAATACTGCACATTCTTGTAAAATCGACAGTTGCTTGGTTGAAATTTGTGTATGCAGGCATGGTTTGTGTGCATCATGAAACAACTAGGAATAAGCCATCAACTTAATGTCATATTCAAATATAATGTGCACCAGAGATTCATAAAATTCATAAAATCACAACAGAATGTCCCCCAGCATTTTCTCAAATCTGACAATTTGGGTTGTTCTGTTATAATTACTTATATAATGGAACTATAGAAATCCAAAAAATTTAGAACAGAATCAGAACTTCTTTGTGTGGAATCCGACAAACTCTGGTGGCAGCCATGTTTGTTTTATTATTAGAGGACGGTTACATGCGTAAACATTCCATATTTCAAATTTGCATTTTTTAATATGGTAGGATGAAAATACCCCGTAAAATACTGCAAAACTATGGCACGCTGTAACTCATGACGTTACGATGACAGATATATACCGGTAATAGTGATTATTCAAAACATGAAAAATTCAATCAATCATGAAAAATAAATCGAGAAGAAAGACTACAGACATCAAGTTTGGAAAGCGACAAGAGTTCCTTTTGTACCCCCATCCCTAACCTTAACTCTAACACTCACTCCCAGTTACCCAATTCATTTGTATATACCACCTCTAGATAACTATAGATGTACATAGGAGGGGCATGTACAATTAAATGGGGAGTGCTGTAGGGTAGAAGTAGGGGTAGGGATACAAAAGGTACCTGTTCCCGGTAAGCATTTGTCATTTATATTTCTAATCAATAATACTATAACATTCAAAATACATTTTTTAAAGTACTCTGATTTTTGTATGACTTCACAATAAAACTTACCTTATCAACAAAAGGATGATCCATAAAATCAGGCCCGCCTATGCTTAAATTCAACACGTTAATTTTCTTCAGAATAGCATAATTAAAGGCATCTAGAAACCATGACGTGTATGACACCTTGACAATGGAAAACACACACGTAAAAAGTTTTTAGTTGTTTGTATGAAGTTCACTGCATGAAAGATTTTTCTTTTGTCACTACTAATCATTGCTTTTCAACTAGAAAACTGTTGAGGAGAAACACAACTGCTCTCATTGTACAGTTATGCATGCAAAAATTAACGAGCATCTCTCTTATACTGACCAAAAACTTTTCCCTCATATTAAATTTTTACTGAATATTGTAAAATATATTTTAGACTACTGTGTTATTATAGCTAATTTAGCAGCCTTGTGTAAAGAATAATTGATAATTCAAAATGTAACTAAATCTATCCTTATTAAATAACACTTTCGGTGCTTTAGCTGAATTAAAGGGCAGTGGTCGCCGTGCAGTGTGTCTTTGAATTTCATGTAAATAAACATTGTATTTTACACGCGTTGTATACGTCGCTATGAGTCCATATCGAACAGGACGCGACATGACGACTGCCGCCCTTTAAGGTTCAGTTAATTCAAGCACTGAGCCAACTAAAACGACATGAAACTATTTTACAGTGTACAGTAGATTCAATGTAAAATTCCAGTGCCTACTAGTTTGTATATTTTAGCCAGCCATCTAACAATTGAACTGGTAATCACTATTCTTCATTTAACATTTACTTGTTAAGCCGGGAAACTTGTTTCTCTGACATACCAATAAAAATCGGCATACCTGATTGTTAGTGAAGACTCTAAATATGAAAAGATCAGCATCAGGAGAAAAGCCGAGACATTCTTTATGACTCGCAATTACACCAGCAACAAATGTACCATGCCCTAAACCATCATCCAATGTTTTTTCATTGGTCCAATTAGTCCTCTCTTTAATCTTCTTGAAATGCGGATGGTTTTCATTTAACCCTGTGTCAAATACAGCTACTTTTATACCAGCACCTACGGGAACAGACAGGAAATATACTTTAGGTTTTTTTTTTATAACATGTGTATAATATAAAGTAAATATAAAACAATGTAATGCATGGTAAAATACCATACATGGATGCTGCTTTATATATTGATTGATCTACCATACAAATAAATAAATATGCATAACCTTTGACCCAGTATTAAGTCACTGACAAACCAATCACTACTTTCTATTCACTGATTAACCAATCACAAGGGTTGTATAATGAACATTCAGAATGACTGAATCCACACACAAGAAAGTTTCCAGTGCGATTTCTAGGTTTGATTATCAAGAATTTTGCTATAATAAATTCAATAATAATAATAAATCAGCTTTCTGATAGATTATCACTGTGTGACTTACCAGTATAACCCATTTCCCATAGTATATCAGCTTGTAAAGCATTGGTGATCTGTCTTGGTATAGCTTTTAATAACCTTCTGCTGGTGTAACGCCCAGTCGAATGCCAAAATGCACCTCCCTATAAAGACATAGCAAAGCGATATGCATTAAAAACATAAAATACTGTATTTTTTTTATTAGAATTGGACATAAACCCAAAATTGTCTCTATTGTATAATGGTTCATTAAAATTTGGCTCACTTTTACTATACATGCCATTTATGTATGCACATATGCTACTACCCAGGTAAGTTAGCTGACAGCTAGTCAATTGATTGGGCCACGCGCACCGGTGGCGGCGTCTTTTGTATTACGTTTTGAACACTTGCTTGACTTCCGCAGTATATTTGACCCAGATTTGACAAGCGTGGTACAGTTTTTTGCGCGTGTCCGTAATAACGCGCACAAAGGATTGTGGGACAGAGTCCTTTATTTGCTGGCATTCTTGACTTTTGACTGCAGTTCTTTTTTTATATTTTAGAGTAAATGCTTCTGATATGCTCTTAGGTTGCTTAATATCAGCCTCTCGTAATATGTGACCAGCAACAAGTTGTCGTGATTGAATCAATGACAAATATAAAGTATATGGAAAGACAACTCACCAATGCTAGACTGGATCTCCTCAGTGGTCTTGATGACTGCCATTTTTGTTGCCAGCAAGGTTCACTTTTATTGCACGGTTTGTACTCTACTGGGGAATCTTCTACATCTTCTAATCATCAACAGTAAAGGAAAATTATTAAAACCTAGCTTTATTATACCATACACACAGACAAAGACAGGTGTCCTGCATGAAATATTATCACACCATGGCATTACAGGTACATGTACATTGTATCAACAGTACCGTACTAGTAACCAAGACACTGATAGTTCTTGTTAATAATAACTGCAAACCTTTTGAACCTTGATTGCAGCGATTTAAAATTTTACCTTCTTTACAAGGAGTTTTATTGAGCAATGTAAGCATTGATAAACTGATTTTTGATTCCTGAATTACTGACAGCGTGCTGCAATTCTCTTTGCACATCTAGCAATGGGTGAAGACAGGAGATAAAATAAGAAATATGAATGTCATTACCGGGTATTTTGACAACTATGCTATAAATGTGCAGTTTTTTCTCCTACTTCCACTAATATATTTTGCTAGATAAATGCGTATGAAGTAGAAAACTAAAACTTCTATTGAGGTAGACGAGTTTTTGGTAGAAGAAGATTAAGATTTAAATATAATGGCACAAGTCTTTCTGACAAATTTGTTGGTACTGCAGATTAGATTATGGATTATGAGAAATAAAGTCCTATGAGGTTGTATACATGCAACAGGTTAGAACAAAATCTATCAATGTATGTCGTAATCCAGTTCTAAAAAGGCAAAAATGCTTAGTTTTAATACAGATTTAGTAATAAAATTGACCACCAGTTGGTCATCTTGGGTTGGATCACAAAGTTAACTGAAGTGCACCTGTAATTAATAAACATGTAATGAATGTTAATGCGCATTACTTACCTGATGATTTTAGTGTTCTTATGACTCTTCTCTGCGGTGTCACCCTCTTGACAAATGGGTGTTGAAGTAGGGCCTCTAAACTAGCCTGCGTTTTTTCTAGAATCTGTAAAAGAGTTCTCATGTTATTGTTAAACTGAATAGCAATGTTCCATGAAATGGGAGCATATCTCCAATAGTAACTCAACTCATGCTTACCTAGGAAAAACATTGCGCAGTAATTATTGAAATGATACAATAGATTGGAAAGATTATATATCAGACCCACCTGGATAACTTCAAAATCACTGGGATAATCACTAGCAGGGTTATTTCTTGGTAAAATATTCCATGAAACTACTTCAGAGCTCTTTAAGGCTGATGCAACAAAGCTATTCCGTGCTTTAGAAGAGTAGTAATCATTAAACGCCACAATGTACTCTGAAATGAAAAACAAATCAAAAGAACATAAATCTGTAATCTAAAGCGCATGCACTAATAATACTAGTAGAGCAAATAAAGTATGTAAACATGTACAGAATCAAACATTTGTATAATATATGATAGAAATGTTTCCAGAAAACTGAATCTGATATATGAACTTATATTTTCTAACGATCTTAGGAGTATTGGTATATAATATGACATGTGACATGATCTTGATGAAATATTATTATTTTCTTGTTTTTTAACAATAAAATCTGAAATAATTTATGATATTGAGGAAGTTATACAACTTTGTGTTTTCATTTTAGTACATAAATATTATCAGTAGAATGCTTTGAACCACATCATGTTGTACAATACATCATTTTTTTCAAAAGGTAGTTGTTTTTTTGCCACAATGTTACAAGCACAGTGTATTTATTTATTTTATAGCAGTTATTTATTATAACTTGTGCGTTACAAGCAAAAAACTTGTATCTAAAACTCATTAGATTGAGGATTATAACTAAATATAGCAGGTAAAAAGCAAAACCAGTACCCACAGTTATATGTCATCCCTATTTTCTAAGGTCTATGCTTGTACCTGTATGTTGCAAAACAACTATTTTTTTTAATATTCCACAGTGCACAGATTTGGATTAAAATTATCATAATAAGGCAAATACACAAGTAAACGGTAAAATTATTACAGCCAGCTGTGCTGACAAAGATAGATAAATGATGGATCATCTGAAATTAAAATTTACACAAATCTTATCATATATTTTCAAAGTAGACAAACTAGAAAAATACGTGTATGAGATTGGCCAGTGGTTGACCAGACGTCATAATTTTCAAATAATTACTCAACGAAAGTGAGCAGTTATATGGATTTCTGTCGCACTATTCATCAGAATGGATAGAGCAGTGCATTAGTGTCAGGTTAATTTATGTCCACTTTAGAATTTTGTACATGTACATACATGTCTGCGTATTCATTACATTTGTAAAAAGCTTTGTGCCTGCAGGATATCAAGTATGACAACCTACACACTGGATGTTGTACAAGTTATATTGGGAAAAACACTGAACTAATTAGATTGACATGTACAATGCATGACAAATTAAAACTACGATTAACTTATAGGGCAAGTCTGGGCTAACCACATAATACTACTTCGGTAAATGCAATTCACAACTTTTCTGTAAAAGTATCCAGTTAGTATAAATTGGTTACTATGGTGCTGAAAGTGTTAATTCTAAAAGATCATTAATATTGATGATTTACATCCACATTGGGCTTTCCAGGAATTTTTTTTCCAAATATATATCTCATTTATATCGGCAATATTGACAATTTAAAATTCGAACTGAAGACAAAGAGATATTAGTATATAGTAATTTCATGGTAAACAAGTTTTTTGTAATGCACAATCCCTGTTGTGTATTTAATGGTAAAGACAATACTCTAGTAAGCATATATAAAATTCTGTTCTTTGTTATAAAATGAGTACGGTAATAAAAACTGGATTTAAAAATTGGATATATTCATGTATTTTTAAAACTTTCTTGGTCAGTCAAATATGAATTTAAATCATCAATATTCAGAAATATTTTAATCGGATATATCTATGTATCTTTTAAAACATCTATATACAACCGACGTGGATTTGAATTGACAATATTGACGATCTAAATACAAATTAACTTGAATTTGATATAATCATGTGTTTTTTAATACTTACACTAACATTTTGACGTGGAGTTAATCGTAAATATTGAGGATTTAAATACAGCTGGATTGAAATCGGATATACATTGTACCCACATATTTTTAAAGGCCCAGGATTATTTCCTTGCATGTCACGCTGTAGTAAACAGCTCCAGCCAAGCTCCGATAAAATTTACAGGTCAATTATGTCGTGCCAAAGTGGATGTATGTGACTATGAATATCACAACAGTGACTGTGTGTAGTATTTATGACAATAAATAATGTACGAGTTGAGATTTTGGTGGATAAAAGTCAAAAACATGAACCGGGGAAAGGGATGCGCTACTAAACTTGAATAAATGCTGTCAATCAAAGTCACGTGACGTTGGACCGCTAAAAC